AATGGAAAAAATATATGTATGAAGAGAAGAAAGAGGTGTGTGTGAGGGAAGGAAAGAGAGAGAGGAGAAAGAGACTAAACATATTAAATGGGAGAGTAGCTGACCTTTATAGAGGAAATATTATGTTTCAGACAATGGATTTGATAAAAAATAAGCTGAAGAGTTTCAATAAAGCAGTAGAAAAAAAAAAAAGAATGAAAAGGGAAGAAAACAAACGACAGATTCCAGTGCTGTGGGTGATGTTGGAGCTTTTTTCACATGTTATTAAAATATTAGGATAGATGCTTCAGATTAGGATAGATGCTCACTGGGATGTGAATATTAGAGAATGCATCTACCACAAAAGGCACAGGGACAAGAGAGCAGCATTCCCCTGACTCAGGCAGAGAGCAGTGAGCTCAGAAGATGATTTATGGCTTCAGAGACAATGCCCTCAACCTTGGAGGATTTCTGTTCCTTAGCATTAGTAGGGGAGATAGCTCTACCCATTAGTCATATTGGCAATGCCTCCATAACAGATATTAGTCAGTGTGACCTTGCTTAGACAAAGTCAAACAGAGCAGATCCCCATCTTGTAGAGAAAAAATAAAGAATAATTTAGTTTTGCGCCAATGTTTTCATTTGTAGTCTGTAGTACTTGCAACTCATCTTTGGGAATCTCTAGCTTTGCACTAAATAGAACCTACCTTTGGAGATGACTTTTGCATTGAAAATATTCTTTGAGATTTAACTCCATTGTGTGGTCTACTTTATAAGTACTTTTGAGAAGGGGATGGATAATGGTGATACTAGGGAGAGAAAAAATGGAGAATTCCTTGGACCAGTTTTGGAGAGGTTTAGCTCTTACTCTCTCCAACAAATTTACAAAGTCATCAAAAAGTCTTTATGAAAAGGAAATAGATTTTGTGGATAAGTCATAACAGCTCTATATTATTGCATCTGACAAGAATCTGTAGTTTTGAGCACAAGCGGGGAAGACTGGATTGAGACATAAGATTTGTGCTATCTTTGCCAGAACCCCAGTCAAAGCTTAACATAGTGAGCTTCTGTCATTCAGAGGATGGTTTTTTCTTTGCCAGAGTCCTTAACTAGCCAAAGTGAACAAAGCATCTAACTAGGAGGAATGTAACTAGCTCACACTGTCCAGAGATAGTCCTTGCCTCACGTCCCAACCCCCTGCTCCCACATCCATAAGAATAGATAGTCTAAGTTATATCTCCAGATTTGATACAGACTAAACTCCTACAGGCACTGAACTTGTTAGAGTAATGATAACAGAGTTAATGAAATCTTCCCTAAAAGGATGGTGACATCACCTCCTGTGACATAAAAGGCAGGTAAAAGAGAAAGTCCCAAAGGTCTCTATAATTTAGGCTGGAGTGCAAGTCTGTCTCTTGGAACACAGACTCACTGCCTCTTGACAAGAAGCACATTTCCTCAGGGTCACTGGGAATACATTTAAAGAGGAAAAAAATAAAACAATTATTAAAACAACAGTGGGGAAGTGTGTCAAAGGAAATATCCAAACCAAGATCTGCTGTCTCAGTCACAACCTATTCTGACCTCAATTCTTTTACCCCAAAAGCTCTTCTTTTCTGCTGAATTCCCTTCTGTATTCATGGTCACTTCAGTTGGTCTACACTTGAAATCAATAGTTTTCTGCCAGGATCTGTTATCTTATTATGGAATCATTGCTGTCAGAAGGACTCCCTCCTCCAGAGTCACATTTTCAAGGGCACAGACCCTGCTTGGCCACTGAGTAACTGCAAGGCTACCTTATTTGATAAATCATTGAGCCAGTGAAGGGTTTTCCTTTTCTCTAATTGACTGTAGTTTTCTACTCACCAAAGTCTGTCTTCTGTCTCTTGCCTTACAGGAGTAGTGGGAACTGTCTATTTAAATAGAAACAAGTAAAATTTTAGGCTGGGAGAAGTTCTGTAAGAGGTAAAATGAAAACATTTATGCAATTCCTTGTATTCCTAAGAGATAAACTCAGATCACATGGGGCCCTCCATTTCCTGTTCCTAGACAAGGGATGAAGTCAACCATATTAACTCCTTTCCCTTGAGATGCAAAGTAGCCGGGTGGTTTTAGTAGGCTGTGGAAATTGGGTCGCTAGGAGACTCACTCCAGGCAATTCAGACACAGTCGGGTGAGACAAACTCTCAGAGGTCTAAGTATATTTCTTGTATTCGAGGTATTCTTTAATTATTCTATTTGCATAACCTTGCTCCAATACTGAAAAATACAATTAAAAATTTCTAGTCTTGATATTGAAAGGGCCTCTAATTTTTACTTCAAATATTTCTTAGCTGTTTTTTTACACTTTGCATTGCCATGCAAGTTTTATAAGCATTTCTCAATTTACACACACACACACTTACACATTTTTATTTTGTTTGCATTGAATCTATATATTAGTATGAAAATACCTGATGTTTATAATACAGTATATTTCTATTATAAATATATGCCTCCATTAATGTAGCCTTATTTTAATTTCCTCAATAATTGGTTAAAACATTAACTTGAAAAATATGTCTCCTGCATGTTTATTGCAGCATTATTTACAATAGCCAAAATATGGAAACAACTTCTTCTGAGGCTCTTTCAATGGCTAAACTTAATGGCAACCAGCAAGTGGTGGCAGGTCTCCAGGTGCCTTCAGCCTTTTGCTGACCTGCCCCAGGCCAAGTACTATTGGCAGCCAGTCTCATTACACAGCTTGACCCAACCTACAATGCAATGAGACCCAGCACAGTCAGCTAATAACTGTGGATGGCTTTGTATCTCCTAACAGGTAGCCCAGGGCTGGTCACAGACAGTACCTGACATTGACCTGCAACAGAATCTGCCACAATTCTGTATACAATGAAAATATTCATAATAAAGACAAAATAAAGACTTTTTTAGTAAATAAAAACTATAACAATTGTAGCCAAAAGGTCAGGAAAAAGGAAATGAAAGTGTGGTAAAAAAGTTTTTGTACTGCATGTATAAAATAATATAATAATATTATTTGAAGGTAGATAGAGATAAGGAGACTAAGATATTTCTGTATTCAGCACTACAAAACCACATGAATTAATGAAAAGACCTGAGACTTCTGAGAACATCTTTGAGAGCACAGGTGCTAGTTGCAACATATCATGTTTATTCTAGCTTTCCTAGACTATATTAAACACCAAAAAGAAACAAGTGTTCCACATTAAATAGAAATAAAATTGCATGAGTGTGTTAAAGATGAACTCTTGGCATAATGGCATTGTTGGCAGAAAGATAATTAATGTTTACTCATCTGCTGAGGGCTTTTTCCTCAAACCTTGAAGACTTGGGCATTGTTTCACTGCTAAGAGAGCCTTGGATAATAGCCTCCTGCAGTCTTATGAATGCAGAGGCCAGAGGAAGCTCAAAGGGGAAGGGCTAGGAGTGAAAAAGTACTGAGCACTGAGTCAGAGTGGAGAAAATGTCTTCAAGCTTTCCCCAAGAGACCTCCAAATGGAGGGCTTGGGCTAGGAACATGATTGCCAAAGAGCATGGCCTGAGACTGCCATTCTCCTCAGAGACAACAATGCACTGGCTGTGCACCAAGTCTGGTGTGGGAAGGTAGCTTTGCCCTGCGAGGTCTGCTCTGTGAGGTAAAGCTTTTTGTAATAGCCAATGGTTGGACCTAAAAAATTATATGTACATTGTCAGCCTAAAGCTGGACTCTTCAGCTCCACCTTAATTTTTCAGGACCTGAGCTAGAAATATAGGCTATGCCATCATGAAGCTGAATGGGTGAAATTTAAGGGGTTATGTCAAGAACAGGGTAATGAGTCTGAGGCAATGTTGGACTAAGGCCACGATCAAGATCACTCCAAGTAGAACAAGACCTGACTGAACTACTGAATGTAGCCATGAGTCTCAGCAGTCATCAAGTCAGAAAAAGATGTCCCATAGCTGCTTAGGGTCTACTCTAGAGAGCTAGGAGGCTTTCTCCTTGTTTCTATATGAATCCCATTTATTGGGTTGAAGGCATTATTAATTCAGAAACAACACAGCTCTGGCCATAGTACAGCTGAACCTCACCTGTAGCCTTGTGGGGTGGCTGAGGCAATGTTACGATAGTCAGGGTACACATACAGAGTATAACCCCAGGGGCACATGTGGTTCCCCAGAAACAAACTGTACAATATGAGGGCACTCCAAGCAGGATGTATACCAATCAGACAGCAGGTGAACAGAGCTCCCAATGTGGTCTCCACCCTGGGGTTCACAGACCAGATGACATTAATTCATATAGTTCTTGGTTTTAGAACAGCCACAGGCACTGTTTCTCTGAGATATCAGTGTTTCAGCCTGATGAGTGTGGATAACATCTATAAGTATCTCTGTGGCCTCAAGGCAACGACTCCCCAAAAGGTCACCTGTCATTTATGCCCGTGTGATCAAGCTTTCCACCACCTTGGAATCCTGTTTCATTAAAGGTGAGGAAGTTAGGAATTTCTGGAGACAATATGGAATGAGAAGATAATACTTGGCCAAAGAGCACTTTTTCCCCCCCCCAGCTCTTAACATGATTGGGGAAGGGTTGGAAATAAAAATGCAATAAGACATGGGGACCCCCACACAGTTCTGAATAATCATCCATTGCATAGAATATGCCCCTCCTATCTCATTGGAACAATGGGCTTTTCTCTTTGTTCTTTGGAACTTTCAACTCACTGCGAATATGGAGGGATGACCTGGGCAACAAAACACCTTCACCATTGTTAAGAAATTCTGCAATTATACTTCTGAATCTTATTGTATCACTGTGAATACGTTTGTTTAAAGCTGAGCAAACAGTTAACATTTAAATTCAACTCCAATGAAATATAATTACTCAAAAAAAAAAAGACCAAGAAGCTAAAAATAATTTTTTACAATGAGCTATAATTTAAAGAAAATTGTATTTATTTCATCGTTATTTTATTTCTTAAAACAAAGCAAGGGTAATAATGTTGAAAATAAACTAATAGGTATTCTTAAAATCATTTATTTCAGTCACAGTGAGAAGCAAACCAAACATGAATATACAGCATACTTATTATTCCTTAAGTGCTAGAAATGACAGAAATATTCAAAGCATTCTGTTGCTTCATTTTCACAATACATCAGTTAAGTTTCATTACTTTTTTACAAATGAGAAATGGAATCCCATACAATTTAGATTATTTGATTAAGAATAAAAGTCTCACAGTCTCACACACACACACACACACACACACGCTTGTCTATCACTAGCAGAGCTGGAGTACTCTAGACAGCAGCACAGAGGTATCTGGGATCTGAAACATGAGACTTCAGTAAAAATCCCCCTAGTGCCCCCAATGGTAGAAACCTGTTTCATGGAACACCTACACAACTTATATTTCTCAGTAATTAGTAGAGAGAAGGTTTATTGAGACATCTACATGTTTTATACTTAATGACATTATTTTTCTCATAATGATCCTAACTATACAGTGGTTTTTATACCAAGACTATGTTAAGAAAATAAAGTCAGCATTCAAGTATTTTATTAAAGGTTACATGGCATGTATTTAGAGAGACTGGACTTTAACTCAGACACTCTGGACATAAATCTTCCCCTTAGTAGATATTATTTATGATATTTTCTCCTTTGCTCCTTGATGACTAAGGAACATCATGGATAAACTGAAACACCCCTGAAGAATCATTCTGTAGGGAATGGCTCCTATGTAAGTTCTTGAATACTATGCAAAAGTTGTTGAAAAGCTTTCCTTATTCCTCTCAGTGGCAGAGATGTCACCCCTATACTGGTGTTTTTTTATGAGGCATTAGACATTTTGCTTCTGATTATAGAAAATGGTTAATAAAAATTATCTACTAATGCAAACAAGACACTGGGAAAAATATGACACAAGGCAACTTGTACACTCTATTGTTCAATGAAGGATGTTGAAATGGAAAAAAGAAAAGAGGCTGCTAAGCTTAGTGCATTAGATGCACCCAAGGCCAGAGGCACCACATAGAAGTGGGTGAGGGTGTAAGAGGTTTAAGAGCTTGAAGAACATAATGTCATAGGGCCAGTACATTTCATAGGATTGAAATATGGAAAACATTCCCCAGAAAAGGAACATGCAGAGAATTTATAGATGAGAAACCCATTGTTTGTGACATTCAAAAATGAGAGAGTGCCAGCGTTGTAGTCTAGGAAAACCCCAACACGACGGGGAGGAACGGTCAGAGTGAGCGTACGAGGAGAAGGGATGTTGTAGGGCCAGGAATTGTAGGTGGCAGAATCCACAAAAGCCTTATATTCAAACTGATTCTGTAACCCTATAACCCAGTAGCCAAGTTGAGGTTGATATTTAGAGTACCCTTGTTGAAAACTGATACGTTTTGCACAATATACCCCCAAGATCCAGGCACGTTTCTCTGACACATCTATCTCCCAGTAATGTTTCCCTGATGTAATAAACCGTGAGCCCAAGACATCACAATCCTGATAATCATTTTCTGGAAGAGTATCAGTTGTGCTCCAACGTAACACTTTCACTTGTCTCTGATCCAAAGAAATAGCAACATCTGGATCATTCTTGAGAAGGCTCAGGGTAAAGTGAACTGTAGAAAAATTATAGGGTTGGGTGAGGAATGTACCTTTATTGTGACACTGGAGAGGGATCTTGAGAATAACTTAAGTGGGAAGAACTTGGTTTGGTTCTTGAGGAGAGGTATAATACTGCAGAAATATAATGTATATGTGGGTGTTGGGAGGGAAAACATGGGTCTTAACACATGAAACCTAGTAGAAAATGTAAAATTCTGAAAGAAGGTGAGGACAGGATGACTTCATGATACTGTGATTTCTCCTTACCCCAGTATTGTCGTGCATCTGTCAGTTCTGAAATGATAAAAATCCATAATATTAAATACAAACAAAGGAGTCAGAACTAAAATCTATTTCCTCTCCAGATCACAGGAAAGGCTGGGGTCTATGAGAGATAGTACACAGGAAAAGGAGAGGTAAGCAAGGTAGCTGGCCACTCCCTGTTAAATAGGCCCATATCAGCATATAATATCCATCTTCCTTTGTCTCCTCTGTCCACACCCAGAAAAGGAATCCTCCTCCTTCTTTAACACCCAGCATCCCAAGACTCTCCCAGCCACCCACTTGCTTTCACATTTCTCACCCATAAACGCTTGCAGCATTTTCAGGTCAGGAACTCTGATCACTGTCCTTTGTTTCTTGGAGAGAGCTTCTGGCTTCCTCAGAATGAAGGTCTGACTCCTAGGGGTGACAAAAATTGAACCCCACACCTCTGAATTTTTGTCTCTCCAAAACCACTGATTTCTATGTATTCATCCCATTGAGCACTTGAGCCCCCTTCCATGTAGAACCTGAGAAAGGAGAGAGTAGACTCCTGACCTTAGAGCCAGAAGAAATGTGCTCATGTCCACCCTTACAGTATAGTCTATTTGATCTCAGGAAGGCCTTGACCTCTCAGAAGCAGTTTATTCCTCCCACAGTTATAACTAACCTCTAACTCTCTATCTCCTAAAATCATAAAATTATATTCAATGATTTTTTTTTTTTCTTTCCCCAAAAGGAAAAGTCACTGTGATGATGTGGAGGGATAGATGAAAGTGAGGTTGCAGAGTCTGGTGGTTTGAGATATATCGAGTGTGGGAACGCTGTCTGGAGAGGACCAAGGCCTTTAATGTCTGCTCCCCAGTAAGGAGGCCGTCAGAATAACACCTGAGATTTCCAGTACTCTGGGAAACATGGTAACACTTGGAAAAGAAGTCATTATGAACACCACACTAANTCCAGTACTCTGGGAAACATGGTAACACTTGGAAAAGAAGTCATTGTGAACACCACACTAAAATTTCATGTGTTTGAAGAGCTTGATGCAGCCAAGTAGGTGTGCAAATTTAGACACAAGGGTGCTATCCTGTCATTCTGGCTTCAGAAGGACATGATCAAGAGAGATCAATTGTTTGCACCAGGGACAAAATATTCTTTGCAATTCAGTCTGTTTTTAGAAAATAAGGAGAACTGTATAGGAGAACCTGGTCTCTTCTATTCCCAGGGGAGAAATTTAACTGTAAAAGTCTCATATCCAATTCTGGGTGCTTGGCAGGTAAAGAAGAAACAACCTACCCACAATGGATCAAACATCTAGGACATACGGGAACCTGAGTTAGACTCAGGCACACTGGGTTGATAAAATTTATGAAGGTACAGGGGTCTGATACCGCAACACTTTATCCCTACTTGCTACTGACCCAAACTCTGCAACTTCTCCCCATCTGAACTCTGTATCATACTATATGGTTATAGAACACTAAAACCATGATATGTGAACAGAAATTTAAGATAAAACTACACCACAATTCTCTTGCCCTGAGCAATATTTTATTCTAATTAATCACCAGATAACTTAAATGGCTTTAAACCTCTTTCACAGGCCAAAAGGAACATCTCCGGTCTCCCACACATACCTTTTTATGATGCTTTTCACATCCTAGGGAGGAAAGAGAAAACATAAGTCAAGAAGTAATAAGCTCGAGAGAAACAAGGTGGCGGCGTAGGTAACAGCTGCACCCCCCGCCTCCCGCAACCACATCAAAATCACAACTAAAACACAGAACCACCATCACTCAGGGCCTCCTGAGATCCAGCTGCACAGAAGCCCCACAACCAGGGAGCTGAAGAAGCACCGAGACCAGGAGGAGGGGCGGAGACGCGGGCGGGGCGGGGCTGGATCCTGGAGATGCTGCCTCGGGCCCACACCCGGTGCTGCGGGTTAAAACCAGGAGGGCATCTCGATGGTGGGGCTTTCCCGAAGGAGGGAGGGGTCCCAGCCCCACAGCAGGCCCCCAGCTCAGGGCTCCAGGGCCGGGAAGAGAAATCCTCAAAACTCCAACCTGTGAAACCAGCGGGGACTGTCCCTGAGGGTCTCGGAGGCTGCGGGAGCCCCAGCAGCTCCTCTAAAGGGCCCGGCACGGACTCACTCGGATGCTCCCTCCGAGCCCAGCGCCGAGCAGCAGCCTGAATGGACCCGGGACACTCGGGGAGGAACTAACCTTCCTGAAATCTGGGCGAGAGGCGGAGGGGCGGCTTCCTCCGGGCAGAAGGGCTGGCGGAGGCCATGGCTCCTGTGGCGAGTCCTCCCCGCACACAGCCGGCAGGCAGGCGCCATCTTTGAATCGCCAGCACCTGACTCCCACCTTTGGCCCCGCCCCGTGATTCCCGGAGGCCCCGCCCCTCCCCACCTGCAGCTCATCCAGGCCATTTCCAGGGGCTTTTCTGTGCAAGTGGCCTCTCGAGCCTCATGCTTAGGACTTTCCTAAAATCTCTCAAACAAGCAGCAGCGGGCCCCATACCGCTTGGTAAGTGGCCTCAGCCTGGCACTAGGGCAGCCTGCATTGGCTCATAGCTGGGCCTCTCC